CACATGCTTGAAAAAATCTTGAAAAAAGAGGGTTCAATAAGCAATGGTGAAACGGCAATTACCATCAGATAGCGCAAGAAATTCTCTACAGGATGTGCTACTGAGAAGCAAGGCAGAATGAGTTTTTAATCAGCAGTGAATGTACAAAAATAGGTGCACAAAACGCTGAGAACTTTCCGGACAACCTAATATCTGTGGGAGGAGGGAAGGAAAACCAAATTTTCATTTCCGATATGTGTTCGTGGAAAAAACACGCTAAAAATGGCATGATTTCCCAAGTTTGGGGTAGTAATAGCTGAATAGTACCTAAAATATCTGTCAGTTTAAATTGAATACGTACTATCAACCGTGGAGGCTGCCCGTACTCAGCTCGTAGTTTCGTACTCATTGTGTTATGTTGTAGTATAATCATGAAGCAAGAAACCATAAGTAAGCAGTTCAAACAGGGGTAGAATCTGACACTTATTCAAAAGAGAAAGTGGTAGTTGTAAGCGCTTAGGACAGTTCAGTCAGTCTGTCATGGTATTGATCGCCCTCCCACATCTTTTGTGTCCTCAATAGCCGACCGACAGCGCTCGGACATGATTTTCTTATCGTCGGCTCGTTACAAGCGCTCAGGAACTGGCCAGACCCTGTTTATTACGTCATCGCACAGCTCCATTCACATCGTCGCTACAACATTCAATACTTTTCGTCCTTCAAGCGCTTTACTTTGAATGTCATGTCTCGTAACCCTCTTACTTGCCGTGCTACTCAGAATTTTAATGACCAATTTCGAGCTCTTTTCTTTTATATTTTGACATTTTTAAGAGAGGGAGATTTTGTAGAATGTACGTTTTGCAGCGTTAAACTTATTTTTAAACTACCCCAGTTTGGCTACCATCATGAACTAAATTTGTGGTAATTAAAAGTGACTGAATAGAACGAACAAATCCAGGATAAGGTGCTATTTAGTTATTGCTACCTCAAGAACATTTTTTTGCTGAAACTCTCCCATCAGGGTAATTCCATCCTGATCAGGAATATCGCTCCAATTTTTCGTGCTGGTGTCGTTCCTGATGTTTGATGCCATTTGGCGTCACCACCTTTCTCTCCAAACTGGATGTAAACTTACATACTGGGCTCATTTGGTGATCACGAACATGACAATCGTTTTTAACGCAGGTTCCATTTAACACCAATATGGCGCCAACCTTTTCACCAGTATTAGTGGAACTTGCAAAGTGGGGATATTCGATGACCTGATCCCAGAATACGACATTACTTTGGCACGAAATCGCTAACCGGGCGCTAAATCGGGAATTGCTTCCGGCAGCATATGCGTGTTTTGAACCTGGCGCCTGACGCGCGCACTTCTGGTTATTTCCAAAGCGGTGTGCTAAAGAAAAAGCCAAACAAGACAGTAACCTTTCTGATTGCCGGCGACACTGTTCCTTCTCTCTGCTAAGGCTCGGCTTTGACAGAAGAAGGATCCCTATCTGTGGGAGGAGGGCAGGAAACCAAATTTTCATTTCCAACATGTGTTCATGGAAAAAACACGCTAAAAATGGCATGATTTCCAAGTTTGGGGTAGTAATAGCTGAATAGTACCTAAAATATCTGTCAGTTTAAATTGAATACGTACTATCAACCGTGGAGGCTGCCCGTACATCAGCTCGTAGTTTCGTACTCATTGTGTTATGTTGTAGTATAATCATGAAGCAAGAAACCATAAGTAGGCAGTTCAAACAGGGGTAGAATCTGATTGTGAAAGACTCACTTATCCAAAAGAGAAAGTGGTAGTTGTAAGCGCTTAGACAGTTCAATCCCCTTCCTTTTACATCCCCAGTCCTACCAATACTCAACCCTAATTACTAAATTTTCTTTTCGAAGCGTAGTGGTGTATCTTAAGTACTTCTTCCAAGACCTATTCTCCTTCAGTGTGAAACTTCCTCAGCATGCCAGACGCGGCCCTTCCACACCCTCCCCCCCCTCGCTGGAATCCTCAGCAATGGTTGTGCGCGTTTGTGAGGGTTTGGGCTGGCATCCTAAGAACGAGATGTCAGCTTATTCATTAGATTCATATGTTTCTCCATGAAACCAATCAGCACTCTAGGGTCTAGCTCTCCCGTGCTCGCGAAACGTTCGTCCTAGCCAATGCCCGCTGGGCTTTTGGCAAGTGAACCTCTGAGGGAATGGGGCGACATGTGTCAACACCTCACATTGGGTGCGTTTTGGGTGACTCCCATTATGTGTTTTCTTTGAAGCGTTTTTCTTTACGGGTTCCGCCCTTCTTAGCTTTAGCGGCCCTTTTTGATTTTGTATAAGATGTTAGATCCTAAGCAGAAGTGATAGAGGCGGAAAGCTGAGCTTTTTCTCGTCCTGACGCGACATCCATAGTGGCGTAGGGCGCGTATAGCCGGCCACTAGCGCTGTTGCGGGGTAACTTCTGGGTTGGCTATTCGATTCCAGGTCCGTCTAACGAGACGGCAATTTGTACATATCGCGTCTTGGGGAATAAAAGCATGAACATTCGAATCGGCGTGGTTTCCGTACTCATTGCTAGATAATTGCAGTCTCAAAGCAGAAATACTCAACTGCGCCAGACTTAGATATGCTTAGCCCTTGAGATTATTATGCTGTTGGTTATAGATACTTTGCAAGATAGAAGGGGAGAATCTTTCTTATCTTGGACTGGCTTTACGCAGAGTAATTTAATGTTAGGCGTCCATGTCTCATAACAAAGTACGGCCGTGGGAAGTAGCTAAACGGTGTGAACTACTAAAATGGAGTCCTTCTTGATGAAGAGGAATATGTTGCAGCGTTTGTACGGATTTCTTTTTTGCCCTGAGCTAGGGACCAGTTAAACGGCTAAGTCGACGTTTTGTTACAGTTTTTCTACACATGTTTTTTTATCGAATATCGGAGACTATCCTCTTTCCGGAGGCCGATTGCGCTCAGCACACAATGGCCAGAAACATAGTGGAAGAAAATGCCATGAGACGAGTTTCCAAGGTCATTGGCTTTTTCATAAGAGCATGTAGGACCACAATGATGGCGCCTCCCGCTAGCTCGGCTTCGTTACACGTTGTGCCAGACCAAATTGCCAACATGGTGTGTCAATGTTTTTGCCCCCGCTTCTGAGCGTTTTCATGAGGTCTATACGGGAATAATCATGCTGCATACGAAGAAAAATGAAAAGCAAGATAAATAAAAATTATATCACTCGATTTTGAAAGTTAAAATGTGCAGAAGGCGTCTGAATGTATTGGACGTTAACGTATAACACAGCGAGTCTAAATGGGACACGCGAAAGCTTACGGATACTGCTCATATTTTTTGAGCAGTAAATCGAACGTCGGTAGGAGAATCGGCTGTGATGCGGCAATGCAGAATTTTATCAGCAGTAGTGACAGAATCTTCTGAGCAGGACTGCGGATTTTCCTGCGAAGTGGAGGCAGAATTTGCAATGTTGGTGTTTCAGTAGGTGTGCGGTTGCAATTAGGTGTAGTCAAACTTGTCCGTCGCTAAATAACATAAAACGATCGATTTCACTGAGTTCTTTCTCAAGGATGGTACTTTTCCTTGTGTATTCGTGCCTCTCCTCATAGTTAACGTCGAAATGTAATCAGTGCGGCCGTGGCGCGCATGTCAGCTCGTACCTAAACTCTGCCTCCCCTATTTTGGAGCCGACATTACCTAAGGACGGGGAGACGGGCTAAGAGGATCGTCATCTTGCGCTCGCGGCGCAGGCTGATAGCGCGGCGTTTTCCTTAAAACTGGTGTTAAGCGCTGTGGACTGGAGCTAGCGGACTTCATGTAGACCCCGTCATCATAGACATTCATGACTATTTTCGGCTCTGAACTGCCCGTTGTCGCCATCTACGACCTGGAATTATCGTCATTTGCGGGCGCGACGTCGCACGCGACGCTCATCAGCGCGGCGAATTAACGATCCTCTTGTCAGTATCTCCGCGAAGGAAGCGACGGTGTCTCAAATCCCGAGTCAAAAAATTGATACGCAGCTTCCCAAACGGTGGCGCATGCGCAAACCCGGGATTCTCATTGACAGGAAAAAGAGCTTGTTAAACGATAAGACATGTTTTGTTTATTGAGGGCGTCGGCTTGTCAAAAGAGGAATAGAATGGCAGCCCTAACAGCGTGGCTTGTTGTGTACCAATGCGCGTACTTTTAAGCTCTTGATTTCTCTCGAGAGCTATAAACTTTGTCGCCATAGGCTGGCTGTGGTCGGAATTTCATTAGCCTTTTTTGTGAACTTTTAACTACCATATGGCGCATCTTTCATTCACACATAATTGCTCCGTTTTTTCCAATGTTGGAGGAATTTAGTGGTGGAATACCTGCAGGAACGATTGTGAGCTAGCCTGGTAATTCTGGGTTGTAGCCGATCGGGTTCTGGCAAAAGTGTTTTCGCTCTACTGATGGAGGATGGTTTAGGCTACCGGCCTGCGGAGGCTTACAATGTTACAGGACGCCGTACGATTAGAGTCAGGCGCCCCTTTGGAACTGGTGCTTAGTCTGTTAGTGATATGGGTTTTTACGATAGACTAGCGGTTTCTCCCCGCAATGTTCCTCCTTTTTTCAGTTAGCTGAAATGTTCATAGTAAGAAAATGAGGAAGGAAAAGGGAGGTGATCTTTTGTTCCTTATTTCTGAACTCATCACTACTGCCTCAATGATGCTCTGCTCTTATAGGTGTCCTAGACTTGAGAAATTATATAGACTTTCAACTTCCTGACTTTCGGCTGAAGGAGTTGTATTCAATTGGGATCCATCACCGTGAAAATGTCCTCCCGCCGATTGCTTCGCGATTTAGTTTTTCTGATTAAGTCCAGCGAATCCGTTGAATGTGTGCTAAACCAAATCGTCCCTATATGTGGTGGTGACCGTTTGCAAACATTTGTTTTTCTGCTATGAGGTTGTTCTGTCGCGCCTCTCTTCGCACTAAAGTTGACTTTATAACATTCGTATATGTTAGTGATGTTAAAGATTTCTTTCCAGATGTCTAAATCCGCTTCCCAGAACGCTACTGGCGATTCTCCCGAACGCACCTTCTCTTATGCAGATGCGGCCAAGAAGTCGTCTGAACCAAGTAATTCAATTTCAGTTTTTTTTTCTAGAGAAAATTTTATTGTTTCTAAAAAACAGTGTTCGAAATGTTGTCATTCGTGTACACTCCTTGCTATTTCATTTACCATTAACAATTCAGAAGCGCAGCAAACTAGTATTTTTAATATTTTCCTTTTTGGAAGTGGGGAAGAGAAACGGAGTTGACAGTTCGACCTTTTCCTGCGTCAAAGATCCTTGACAATGTTCAACCATTGCTGCCCCTAAACCTCGCAATCTACAGTTGAAACTTTTTGGTTATCCGTTTTTGATTACAAAGTGTGATTCCATACGGCCCTCTTCTTTAGCAAATCGTTACAAGTTTGCGTACAGGGTTGCTCTATTCCCTAATGACAAATACGGCGTTCATTTTGGGGCTCATTCCACATTCCCTCCACCGCCTGTCCACTATATTCTTCCTGGGCTTGCATTTGGGGAGTTTCAGGTTACGGAGCGCTTTTTTGAAACGGTTTCTTGCACGCTGTAGGAGTTCTCAGAATCTGCAGACCTCAAATATGCGGTCTTTTTTTTCTTAAGCGTTCTGGGATTGTCAAAAGTCTAACCCGAAGACATAAAAAGTTTTCTGTTGAAACTTTGCCCATGTGCCGAAAATGATGGTCCTGTACGATAAGGTATTGTCCTAACTCTCATTTTTGGACCATCCGCTGCTCAACATAACCTACAACAACAATCTTAGAAAAACAAGCATCCGATTCCAGGTCGTGACAATTCCCCAGCATGTGTTGCCGTTGCATCGCCTTCAGGAAAGTCGGGATCATCGGCACCGCAGACCCCAACTCCAGTTTTGCGCCCGGTGGAAACGAACGAGACTGAGGGTATGCTAAGAACTGTTTTACAACTAATTAATTCGCGAAAATATGACGTTGTTTTCAAAGATCTCGTGAGGCTGCATTTATACTTTGCGTCAGCGTGCGGCAGCGTTTCGAGAATATTTCAGCGTGTGCAATCGCGCGCGCGTATGCCAGCGTACAGCAGCCTTTTCGCAGGCAGTTCTGCTCGGTCAAATCGCCAGTAAAACGATAGTATACGCTGATGTTTGCTGCTATCATGGATATCCATATTTCCTTTGTCGCTGGCGTTCGCTAGATCGATACCTGTACTTCCCTATTCAGCTATGACGCAAAGTATGAACGCAGCCTGATCTTGTCGTTGTTGTTCTTGTACCAGTTGTCACTAGTGCAATTTCTCCCAATAAATTGCAGTGTTGCCATGTGCCGATGTGCCTGCGGGAGCCTCTGGTGCTGCCGACGGGTTATCCTTTTTCTATGATGAAACGGAAGCTACCAATCCTGAAGAGACTCCAAATGAAGGTAAGCGCTGAAGCCTTTGATTGAAAGCAGCAGCACTCTCTCAAGTTTTCAGTTTTGTTCATGAGACCACCTTGTCCTATCAAAAAGTTCTAATAAATGATCTTACTTGGGAGCGGTAGATTCGTTAAGGAAACTTACCAGGAAAGTCCGCCATCGTACACTTACCATCACCGCAATTTCGGGTCGCAATCAGCGGTTCTCAGTTGCGGCGTTCCCATCATTGGTAGTTTCCTTCCTAAATCGATTTCTCCGATCGCCATTAGTAGAGCAACGAGGCCGACGCCCATTTGGACCGCGCTGCACAGCCGCCTCCGACAGTCCGCAGTGATAAGGACTGTACCATGGAACATTGAATGGAGACCTGGGTAGATCGATAGAGTCTATAAGGTTATTTACAAATATAGATAGCAAAACTGCAACCTGCATTTCAAGCAACTTATGAGCAGGTAAAGTTTGTAATGGTGCAGTAGGGTGGAGGCTTGGTGGTGAGCTGTGAAGCATAAGCGAGGAATCGCATACGTCGAATCGAGTCGTGGTGGTTCAAGTAGTTAGGTTGGACGTTCGACGACTCGATTTGACGTACGATTGCTCGCTTATGCTTCAAAGCTCATCACCAAGCCCTCACCCTACTGCACCATTACAAACTTTACCTGCTCATAAGTTGCTTGTGAAATGCAGGTTGCAGTTTTGCTATCTATATTTGTAAATAACCTTTATAAACTCTATCGATCTACCATTCAAAGCTCCATTCGAAGTTCCATGGTAAGTTGGCGGACTTCCCTGATTAGAGACGTGTTGTCGAGATGATTTTCGCGTAGATCAGTATGTTCCCAACTGTTTGTTTGGTCACTGCAAGTAGCGCGTAGTCCTCAACCTCGCTGTTAATGTATATACCCGTATTCCTGCGGAAAACAAAGTTTTCTCGCGGGATATCCACATTTGAGTGGCGGCTACAGATCGATAGTTGTTTTTTTGTCTATCAACGCCTGAAGTACTCGGGCTAAATTAGGGTGAATTGTTCCTACTTTTATGCATTTGAATTTATTTACATGCTTGCAGTGGAGAGCGGAGCAACACCCCAAAACGCTTTTGTACTAAATCTTGGTGGAAAGACTGTGCATTTTGCGAAAGGAATGGCATCATCACCCGTCGATGCACCTTCAAACAGTCACCATATGTGTATGGCCGAAATGTTGGCACAGCGATGGAAAATGTTCCAAGAGGGTCACGGTGAGTGTAGCATTTTTAGCGTCACAAACTTTTTTTGGGCAATTTCGCTGAAATTTTGTCTGTTGACATTATTTCGAATCACGAATAGTGGCATTCATTTTTGGGCGCTCCAAGGGGCACCATGACATGTTTTCACACCATTCGTGATAAATCTGCATCTGGGGTAATAGGGGGGGGGGGAATCATCATGAATATAATATTCACTTCTGGCGTCGTTCGGTGCTGAGCTATGGCTTAGCCACGGAGATAGACTGATTCCGTTCGGAGGCACAGACCCCGCAAAACGCAGAGTCGGTGAAAAATTGTGCTCATATTCATTATTAGAAAGCCAGTTCCATGCGGTGAGTCCATTTTGCGATTAGCAGGCAGGGCAGGGGGAGGCACTCGTCAAGTCTACTCTGTCCTCCTGTCCCCTGCATTCTGCTGGTGCTGGTCCTGGGGAGGAGAGGGTGTAATTCAGGAAATCAGAGGCGCGGCATCTCATTCCTAGCTATTCTGTCAGCATAGCACTTGAGCGTCATTTCGGATGTGCCGTATTAGCTTACGGTAAAAACTGTGTTGAGTGAACTACCAACTACCTAGGAACACTAGCTAGCAATGTCGCGCTCTGATGCCTTCAACAACACCCCGGTCCTGGGAGATATCTGTTTTCTATCGCGGTCCCCTCCCCCATAGCTGCAGCCAATGGCACTGGTGCTGAAAGATGCGTGCTGGTTTCGTGATCAGGATTCCTAGATGATATTTCAGCCAAAAAAATATTGAGGTTTTGGAGGCGAATCGTTTCAATATTGCCATTTTGCCATCTGAAACAAAACGCATGCTCACCTGCGGGGTATATTCTTGGCATGTGCATTTTGCTTGTTCAATAAGCACCGCTGTCGAAGTATAGCACTTTTTCCGTTCGAAGCATGCGCGTTGATGAAACTCCAGGACCGTGGGATAAGCTACTTCTCCACACTTCGCCTGTAAAGCAACTTACGCCGCAGACGCGCTGCACGCCGTTACCGTACCCCGCTTGCGTCTGTACCGACCGGCCGTCCGCGCAATGTGTGTCGCGCGACGCTTCTGGCACTGGTCAAGTCTTGTAGTTTGCGCTTTAGAATATGGTTAAAGCGCAAACTTCTTAGCGGATGACAACCGAGGCGTTGCTCATGCTGCAAACAGTGAATCAGATGGCTCTGGCGAGGGCTAGAAGCGCAGCTAGACTGTAGAAACAGTGAGCACCGCCCCAATTGTTATCCGCATCGCATCAAAAATTTGGGCTTTCATCGCATTAGAAAGCGCCAAGTACGAAATTTGACAAAGTGTCAGATTGCTCGGGCGCGACACGGGTTGTGCGAACACCACTCGGATGCAACCGGGGCTGGTCCGTGTAGCGCGTCTGTGGCTAAGCTGCTTTTGAGGCGAAGTAAGGAGAATCAGCCACGCCACGATCGTGGAGCTCCATCCCCGCGCGTCTTCGGGTGGGGAAACCTACTACGTTTCGACAGCTGGGAGCCAGTTAGGCATTGTTCATAGTCCGCGACTCAGCGTTTCCCTAGAAAGATTTCGGCGATAAGCTTTCTATTTCTAAGTATCGACGGGCAGTTGGGCGAAAAGCGCTAGGACGCCACCCTGGCGTTTTTCTCTAGGGCGGAAGCCTGCGAAATCGATACGCATCTATTGCTTTTCGCCCAACCGCTGAACCGCGGCGGTTCGTCGAACGGGGCGGTTGGCGATTCTCCGATCAATAAGTATTTTTTTTGCTTTTTCCGAACCGCCATTTCGTCAGGGTCTCAGATTATGAACAATGCATTGGCCCTGCACATGTCGAGGGTGCAGCTCGCACGTGATTGTGATCGTTTTGTCCTTAAATTAAAGAGCTTATTAGCATTAGTGTTTTCAGTGCCTCAAATTTATCAACCGCGAATCGCTTCGTCGTAATGGACACTCGCTTTATGTGTTTGAAGAATGTTCATTCGGAATGCTTGCTTTGTCCGCAACCGCCTTACTTTACCGATGATCCTATTTTGAAAGCATAATTCACGAATATATAAAAGTATCCTGGTTCATGTTTCGTATTCTACTTTCGCGTGCTATCTATCTATTTTTACAATCCTACCAGTTCTTATGTGATAGCGTTTTTAACTTCTTCGCTCAGTCATATTTTTTTATATAATTTTCCTTGTAGAATATCTAGTTGTTTTAGAGAAGTTGTAGTTTCAACTTTTTCAATCATTTTATCATTCGCAGCATCACGACGTTTTCTTTATCTGTTTGCTAGACGTTTTCTGTTTTTGGAATTCCATTGTTTTATAGACATTTTTTCGAGTTCGATTCCCGTGTTATTATTGCTCTGCTTTTATTTTGGTGTAGTTTGATAATGCTATAATGTGCGCCTAATGGTTCTTCGACGCATGTGTGGATTTCCAGTTTCAAGTAGATTTTTCTCGCACTAAGAATTGCGAACAATTTTGTGAAGCTAACGATTCTCTGCTATGCGCCCTTAACTGCTGTCAAGCTTACTTATTTTAATTTTTGTGAACGACACATTTTCGCTTGCTATCGCAAAACCGTACGTACATGTCACCAGCTTTACGTGTATCCTTATTTTTAACTGGGCTCATGTTCATGTTTCATTATCGACTAGGATGTTGGTAAACAAATAAACAAACAAACATCTAGATTGTGCTTACGAGAACTCTTGCCGCATTCTTGCATCTCGTGCCATATTAAGTCACATCAGCACGAAATTGGGATTTTATTTCATTTCATTTTTTTTGTTGAATCTTGGCTGCTGTGATCGTCACTGACCCATCATCACTCACAATTATCTGGTGTGGAAATGCTTGGATGATCAGCGTCATTTCATTCTTTATTGCTGGTTAGTGTGTCATGTACGATCCCACAAGCTGTTTATTGTTAAGTGCAGATTTCTCCAATGTTTATTGTAATAAATGTTTTAATAATGATTTTGTGCGTTGTTGTTGAAAAACATCCTGCGCTGGACGGGCAGCGTCAGGTCGATACGTCGCGGAATCTGAGTTGAGGCAGTCGCATTTGGCCCTTTCAGCAGGGGGAGAGTCGTATTTGCAGAGGTCATTACTCGGAACTGCAGCGTCGTAGCTTGCAGAATGGACGGTTTGGAAATCGAGTAGAGCACATGGCGCATTCCGTGGACGCTTGATCAACACCTCTATGCTGTAGTTTCTCTTCACTACATGAGGAGAAGATGTATGGAAGGCCTACCGAGCGTACCGATTTTCTAGATGGAAATGTGGGCTTTGCAGAGGGAGGTCCTCAAGCTGCAGCTGAAGCTGACTTTCCGAGTGGAAATCCGCGATGGGGAATTTTTACGGCAGTCGAGCTACAGCAAGGATGTTGTACTCCTTGGGAAGAGAATGCGTTTCGCTTACCAATGCTATGTAGATCTCCGTTCTACGTTATGTGCGAACGAAATTATGACCCTCCAAATGTACAAAACTCGCGTTCGCCGGAATCCTACGCGTCATTTTTGTGATTTTCCGCGACCGGCGAATTTTCGTTATAATTAAGCTACAACGAAGCTGTTCTGCCTATTCGTAAGTGAAGCCCATCTAGTTTACAATGCGGTGTAGATCTCCGTTCTATGTTATTTCTGAAAGAAGTCATTACCATCAGAAGGAGAAAGAAATCGCGTTTACCCTTAAATTTCTCCGCACTAGTTCAACTACATATTATGTACCAGTTGGGCACCCGAAAACGCCGGATCTGGATCGACCTTATTTTCCACACGGGGGTGGATTTCGCTGAAAGCTGGGTTCTAGGGGTAATTCGACCTCCTGAACACGAATATCACATCCATTTGGCCCTGAAACTGCTTGGCGCCCCGCGCTATAGGCGCCAGTGATTTGGGGCATTTTGCGCGCTGGCGCCGTAGCGCGGACGCGAGCGCTTTGAGCTGCAGAAAATGTGATATTCGTGACTTAGGAGCCGTCAAACTACCCCTAGGTTTACAGTTTTTTTCGTGGATTTTGTGATTAAGCGTACTTTGCGCCCGCCGGCGCCTGTGCGGCGCGTGGGGCGCCCAGGCGTTCCTCCAAGAGCCAGCGGATGTGATAATCGTGTTCAGGAGGTCGAATTACCCCTAAAACCCAACTTTCGGCCAAATCTACCCTCTAGAAAAGTCTAGAAAAAAGTCGATCAAAATCCGGCCCGTTTCCGGAAATCTGGGGTAGTAATAGTTGAATAGTGCCAATTCTCCGCGTTGTTTTCTGGCCCGAAGCCGTCATGCTAGCTTGATGGAACCTGTAGTGTATTTCGTATAGAGCCTGGCCATACAACTTGAATCGTCCTTACCGCTCTGCGAAAGATGGTTCCTGAATGAAGTTATACCCTTTCAAAAATACTGTGTGAATCGGCAATAGCCGATAGCGCTCTAATCTCTATACGCGACGCGACCGCATGCGCCCAATCCCTCAGATTCGTGTTGTTTCGTTTGAACGGCGTCATTGTAAGGTTTTCCGCAGTTTCACTGTGTGCATTACACTTGCATTGCCGTGCATTACTTTTGAGAAAACCAGCTTTTCAGTTTTCAGGGCTTTCGTTCGACTGGTTTAGTAAATGTTCCCACATATCAGATACTTAGTCGGTGACATTTGCATGAAAACAGAGCAGATGTCTCTAAACACTCCACTTCACCGTAACTAAGAGGGGGGACGTATAGACACCGCCTTTTAGGAGAGAGGTAGTACCAACCCACCGATTTTCCGTGACGTGATGCTTGGCTCTGGTCAGCACGGGACACGGGCAAGAGAATCGTAAATTGTCGCTTCGTCGCGCGCGCATGGGCGCGACGTTTCCTCAGTTTGCCCACCCTTTCGATTGGAAGCATCGGAATTTCATGTAGACAAGGACATGGTAGACACTTATGTCTAGCTTTGGTCATAAACTCTATTCTCGACCATTAGGCAGCGTTCAGACTGCGCGATGGCGCGCTTCGGTCGCGCTTTCGTCAGTCGAAAGCATACGCATCGATCGTTAAATCGCGCAACCGGAGCGCTGCCGTCGCGAAGTCTGAACGCTGCCTTACCAATCGTCGTGATTAGTGGGCGCGACGTCGCAAGGGACGCCTACGGGCGCGCCGAATTACGATTCTTTTGCCACATACCCGGTCAGCACTAAGCGCATGGATCGCTTTCGCAACTATAAGATGCAGAAGAACTTTTGTGTAGCTCCCATAGTCGAGGCAATGCGTGTAGCGCCCACGATGGTATGGCCCTGTACTGCGCGCGAAGTGTGACACCGTTTAAAGACGTTGTTTTGAGTCCTATGCCCTGAAAGCGGCCCAAAGAACGCCTCAAGCAGCGCTGGCTACCTCGTTGCATGCGTACTTGGAGATTGTTGGCTCTCATCCGAGCGGGCATTTAAAGGCAGTTGGCACGATAAATCGCTATACAGATGTAGGATTTATACGACTGGCTTAACAGAATTCCGTGACCTCGGACAGGCGCTCCGTGGCGCCTTTTCCAAGGAGGGTACCCCTAACGCCCTATCGAGCAACAACATTCCGTCCCAAACGCCTTCCTCGCCCGCCCGCCCGCCCGCCCACAAACGGACGACCGTTCCTGACGCTCGTATTCATTTGCTGAGCAAATTATGAAGCAAAGGGATTGGTATGAAGCGGCCGTGATGCTGCATGCATATATGGGTACACATACAGTCCTCATCATTGCGGACCGGTGGGGCGTGTCAGTGCGGCTGCGTTTGGCGCGGTGCCAAAGTCGTTCTGCACCAGTTGTTGAAGCGGGCAAGTGACATTACTGTATTATATCCTTCGTATTACTCGTTTTCTACCACTTTTTGTCGCATACGCGTTTCAACAAAAAGGCTGAGAACGGCTTCAACAGTGTGCACACTCATACTGGCTGACACGCCCCACCGGTCCGCAATGATGAGGACTGTATGCAGCCGTATCTTCGGTAGCGGTGATTGGCAAGATGCCGTACGGGAAACTCGTCCGAAATCGATTTACAAGTCACTGAGAACGGAGGCTTTTTCTTCGCCGGATTTTGACCGTTTCACTCCGTTCTTTCGCCATTTCCCACTACATAGCGCCCTACTAGCATTTTAGGCCGAGTGGGAAACCATCGTGCCAACTGCCTTTGCTTTGACTGGAGACGTGGCGTCACAATAGCGGGCCCGCCACAGGGTGGAACAAATGCTGAAGAAGGGCAGTATGTGAAATCTCTGCAGGTAATGCATCTGTATGTTGAGATGGTAAGTTTTTACAGTTGGGAGAAAGCGCAGTAGTTCTCGAAAGTAGTTCTTACCACTTCAAGTTGACTCCACAATACTACCTCGTGATTACAGAGAGCATGTGATTGGACTCGAGTATGACTTGCTAACCATGGCCAGGTGAAGCAGGCGAAGTGGCATGGGTCGGAGCGCAACACTGCAAGCGCTCTTTCCACCTGTCGTTGGGGACTCAGGCTGCTTTTATATAAACCTCGCGATTGTATGTTGTGGAAAGTGATTATTCAATCCTATAGTCGCTGAATGACTCTCCAGGGGAGAAGAAAAACCAGGAAAAAAACATGGATAACACCCTAAGGACCCCGGGCAGCCCACTGTACGCGTTGTTAGGACCTGCCCGTTTTGAGCAAAATTCTGCCGATTCTGGCTCACTAATTGCTTCCTTGCTTTGCTGTCAAGCAACGTTAACAGTAAAAGAAGGGCGCTGCTCAAAAAGCGAACTTGTGACAGAGAAAAAGCCTTTGAGTTTTGGTGGCGGGACAACTAAGGAGGCGTCAGATTTGCTACTTATGAGGGGCCGCAGCGCCTTCGATACTTACTGGTTGTGAGGAGCAGTGACAAAGGGATAGTTCTAGAGACCGAGGAGCAGACTACCCATATAAGTTAGTGCACCTACGAATTGCTGGAGCGAAAGGACTGTCATTAATTTT